CATTATCATAAGATTATAGAGGAGTTTCCAAAAGGATAGATAAAATAATGTTAAAATTAAAAATGTCAGTAGCTAATGCTTCAAAGTAAACAATTCATGAATAAATGGGAGAAAGCTTCAAAGATAAGACAGTGAGAGGGAGTGACCAGCTTAAAATAATTTAAAAAGCCATCACAATGAACAAATATCTATATTTATATGTTAGAAAATAAGTACATCAAAATTAATGAGAGCTCATTGAACCTACCTGAGCAAGAGGCTTATTCTCAAATAGTGATTCGTGTTGAAAGAATTTGTCCAGCCCATGCTTTGTGGCGATATGGTCAGACTCATCAGAGAAGAGGACAGCATCCCCATCAAAAGCCACACGGAGCTGGGTGTCACAGTAAGTCATGTCTTTGGCTCCATCAAACATTGTTGCAGAGGCGATACCTGACAGATCATGGGGATTAATTAGTACCCTTCTCAGAGCCATGAGTTTTAGTTTCTTCCATTTTAAAAAAATCCTCCCAGACCTATGTTTCCTCTCTAGCTATACCCTGATGACTCCACTCCTCTTCACAAGCACACATCTCAGAACAGTGACTGATGCACTGCCTCTGTTTCTACAGGGTAGGGAAAATGTGAACTGAGTGGCAGGACAATTAGTGAGGGTATTCATTTCCAGGAAAGCCGAAATTCTAAAGAACAAACTTAAGGGCTGCCACATGTGCAAATACCTTGGTAGAAAATCCAATAAGAACATAAGCTTCATAACTACATGTGAAACCCAATGTAAGTAACCATTAGTGCAAACCTCTTTATTAACCAGAGAGATGAAATCAGACTAATACCTTCTTGTATTGCTTCTTGTACTTTTTCAGAGTCCGCAGAAAGATACAAGTTGGTAAGATAGGCTTTCAAATAGCCAATGGGGCTCTTCCCACCAGTCAGACAGAAGCGGTCAATCAGTAAGCCTATCATCAGGTAAGAAAGACTTCATTATGGCAGAGACTAAAGACAAAACAATATAAATCCAAATAATAGCAACCTTAGAAATAACTGAGTTTATTTGCAAATCCAAATGACTTCATTTTTAAATCTTTAGAAATAATTGAAGTTTTAGAATTATTTTCATAATGCCAAATTGAAAAATTTCTCAGCGATTTCACATAATAGTAGGTATATTTGCTACATTATAGTTTATGAAGTATTAATATATTCACATAGACCATGCCAATTTACTTTCACAACCGTACTG